TTCTCTATACTTACGTGTCTCGTTTATACTTATCTATTCTTATCTATAATATATATTATATTTATATAGTATACATATATTATATATAATATACATATACATATATATATATATATATATATATATTATATATAATATAATACATGATATCATATTATATAGACATATTATATATTCATATTATTAAGTCATTATATTAGAACATATAAATATATATTATTTATTATATATATATAATATATATATTTACAAATATATACATATATATATACTTTATTATTTTATATTATTACATATATATATTATGTATATCATCTTTGCCATCTATATATATTATATATTATTATATATATATATTATATATATATATATCTCTTTAACATTCTTTCGTCTCTCTATATATATAATATTATATTATATTATATATATATCTCATTATGTATATGTATATATATATCTATATTATTCTCTATATATAATATATATATCTCTTATATCTGTTTCTATATGTATAGTATATATATATCTTTATTATCTTGATATATATATTATTCCTTATATATATGTGTCTATATCTATATATAATAGCTATATATATATATATATACATATATATATATATATTATATATTAATACATATATATATATTATATATATATATGCATGTATACATAGGTATATATATATATATATTTATATATATATATATATATAATATATATATATATTATTATATATTATATATATATATATATATAATATATAACGCACACACATGTATACACATCCATCATTAATATCATCAACGTTACTAATAATGCACCATACACTTTAGCATGAAATATGAACGACGATGACGTAGCGATGAAGTAGTAATGACGGAGTCGATTGAAGATGAGGTCTGGCCTGTAGGGTTTGACGTCCGAGACGGTAGATGATATATACCAAAAATTCCAGCATAATTGTTAATATATATACAAATATATAAAATATATGGTTTACTTTTCTCACATTTAATACATCACACATGATATATGTAAACAAAATTGCTTTGGATTGTGACCCACAGTAATGACAAAGAAAAAAGCGAAGAAGGCATCTTTTCCGGTAGAAATTGGGTGTCGCAAGACGCGACGCGACACCAAAAGCTGTCTCGTGATCGGAAGCGAGACAGGCCTCTAAGCTCCGCCCATTTCTGTGACGTTATGGGAATGATCGCGGTTGACGGCTTACTATTTTACAGTACTAGTTATTTTTCGGACAGGTACACAATATTTGGAATATGATATCGTAGATGGGTTTTGATATCTTGTGCTGGGTAGTGTGGTGTTATAGATATCCAATATAAGTACAAATATGCATGAAATATCCCAAGTAGGAGGAATGCAACTGGCAACTCGATTAAAGTTAACCGTCTGCTCGATTCCTGTCCCACAAGTGGTGTCGCGTTTCCCATAACAGCTGGAAAAGATACCTCGGAGGCATCTTTTCCAGCTTCTGTAGTGGAATAGTATTTTCTGAAGGTTGTTAATGGCATGAAACGCTTATTGAGAGCAAACTTAACAGCAAAGATAGATGTACTTGATATTATCGAAACATACATGAAACAGATATCTCTAGAGTGGTTCTTGGCAATAATATTGATAACGTCACATAGTCCAACTCACAAATGCTGTAGTATAGCATTGCAAATGCACTTTGACAAATCTGCGTCCATTTTGGATTTCCTGTCTGCTGTAGTATTCATATTTTTTCAGGGTTTTATGCAGAGAGTTCAATGTACTAGTAACTGTGGTCTCGCACTGTGCCGTCTAAGAGCCTCTCCAGGCCATCTCCCATGAAGGAGCTGTCATGGTTGGAAGTATCAGCTAAGCCTGGGGCTGCCAGCTTTGCAGCACTGTGGCACTGTCTTTAATAGTGATGGTGTGTGGCTCCTTGAGATATATGACCTTTCAGGGACTGCTTGCTGCTGTTTTAGTCTGACTGAGGCGTCAGGAGCTTGGGTTTTCAGTGTTGTGGGGGTGTTTGGTGTTGTGTTTGGGATATTTGTCATAGATATGAAGTAAAAAATAAGCTTCAAAGGGCATTACTATATGCACAAAAGTAGCTCAAAAAGCTTCCAAATGAAAAATCCTCAGATTTCCATCCGACCAGTCACCACAACACCCCAAGCCAAGCACCTCTCGGCGAGGGCTGTAGCTGGGACCCAGAAACAGACTGTGACAACTAATAATAACATAAGACGCCATGAGAATTAAACCCACTGGCATCACAGACACACTAATACTCTACTCTCTACTACAGGAATACTGGAAGGCTGACCAGGTGGACACATGGCCTGGGACGACCTGAGCGTAGACCTTGTAAACCACCAGGAACTTGTGACTTCGAGTCCGGACTGTGCGGATGGGTGGATGTCCCAGACTCCCAGGGGAACAGCTGGGAGTGGCTGAAGGCAGAAGAAGCCAGCGACGGTGTTTTGGTTGACCACACAACTAACAGCGGAGAAGGTAGTTTTCTTAAGGGGCGGTCACACGAGCGTTTTTACACCGATAAATCAATGGAAAATTGAACTTTTCCACTACCAGCAAGTTCCGAGTCGACAATACCTCTGATGTAGAAGCAGACTATATGCATCGTTCACAAATCGAGGAAGTGGCTTGTCAAGAAAGTCTATAGTCTGCTAAGGAAAAAAATACTCAACTGCGTACATAAAAATATTATTTATATTTAAATCAATATAATTTTATCAACATATATTTTAATTTATACATTTATATTTTCAAAGTGTGCTTATCAATTCACGGAAATTCATTTGCGCTACCGCGGCGTCATCATTGTTTAAAAGCGCGTCTTCCAAGTTCCTCAAAGAAGAGTTTTTCTTTTTTTGCCAAAATCAGCAGAGTATGGTTTAAACTTCTGCTATTTCTTCTCTGCAACCCCGAACGAACCCATATACGCCGTTTACGTAACCTTTCAGCCTCCATTGTAGCTACAGATGACAAAATACTGAGGAGGGTCGCTCGGGAAATCTTCGTGGACGCCATGTTTGTCGCTGACATCGCGCGCATACGCGACGGTTCTTTTCGCTCCTTGTGACCAGCAAGTTGGGAAACCGCAGACAAATCGTTCCGGCTACAGGATCATATCACAAACTGGTTGTTGAAAAAAGCGCTCGTGTGACCGCCCCTTTATCTGCTGGTTGAAAGGGAGTTGACGTTGGGGACTATGTATTCCCCATTTCTTTTTAAAGAATGCGTAATTTGCTATTGTTATCGTTATGTAAGTAATTTACATGCTTGAAAGACAATAAAATGCTGGTCGTGTACAGATTATATCAATAGAATTGTCTTTCTCATAATGTGAATGATAGGAAAAGTTGTAGGCCATCCCTCGGGCATATAAGGTACTTAAAAAATGTATTCTTTTATCAAACATCAACTTTCTTAAATTATTTCAGGCCACTACATATCCTTTGACTTAACGCAATGTGCTTTTGGCTCCACCTGTTCTGCTGAACTTAAAAGCAATGACATTACCCCGGCCTATGACACCTACTGCTTGTCTCTCTTCATGAACAGTCTCCAGAGTAATAGTAAGTTGTTGTATGTTTTACACGGTCTTTGTATATTTGTAGACAATCAGTTTGAATAAAAAGTTCTAGAAATATGAATAACGCATGGCTTAATTCGTAATCTTTTTATCTGCAGGTGACACAAATGTTGTTAGCATTGAGATCGTCAATGTGGAAAGAAACACATCCCGAGTAGCAATGACGCTATATAATCCATTTAACTACATCTGGAATAACTTTAGAGTCACACTGAACAGCATCGACTATTTGTTCCACTTAAGCGTGAAAGTTAAGATGCTTCCGGATTTCCTTAATGGCCAAGGTAAAATGAGGAAACTGAAGTAACATATCCTGATCTCTAAATATTTGGATTATAAGGAGTAAATTGACCAACTTCCATGGGGATTTTATTACATTTCAATGAAGAATGTTGTATTCAAAGATGAGTATTATTTAGATGTACAGAAAATTCGATCTCGTTGATTCAAGATATTATTTAATGCGGCATGTTTATGGGTGTGGGGGGGGGGGAGCATGGCCATTAATAAGACTTGCGAGTACTTTACAGTCTAAACAAAGCAGATCGCATCATCTCTCAAACATATCACAGGACCTTACAAATTTCACAACAGCATACAACGCCCTGGACGACCTGCTCTTAGAAACGGGCAACTGCCAATGGATGGGCAGCACTACACCTGCGCCTGTCACTACACCTGCACCAGAAACAAAGCTCACCTGTGACTTCGAGAATTCCAACCCATGTGACTGGACACAGGACTTGACTGATGGAGGCGACTGGGTTCTCACCTCAGGGGCGCTTCTCAGTTCCGATCAGGGGCCTCTTGTCGACCATACGACGCATCTGTCGGAAGGTAGGGGAGAAGGGAGGAAGGAATTTAGGAAGAAAGGAAGATAGAGAATGGGTGGAAAGGAGAAAGGAAGGGAGTATGGAAGGAAGGCTGATAGGAGGAGGGTAGAAAATAAGATGAAAAGAAAAGAAGGATTGAGAGACGAAAGAATTTGATTGGGAGGGAAGTAGGAGTGAAGGTGACTGGATGGAAAAGAGGAAGATGTAGTGAATGAAGGTCATTAGGACGGGCGAAGAAGAAAAGTAGAAAGGAAAGAAGATTGCTTCGGAGGAAGGATTATAAAAGGAAGGAGGAAAAGTAAGTAGAAAGGAGGAAGGACAGGAAGTAAGAAGAAACACTTTGAGTATGAAGAAAGTTCTGTAAATCGTGCTACCGTTGACATAATGAAAGTAATTGTGTTGAAGTTTGTGTATTTGGGATGTTTTGGGAATATAATAAGTGCATGTGTGCATGCGTAAGCGAGTGAGTCCCTATTTATGTATTTATGTGTATTTACTACAGAATTTCCACAGAACGCTTGAAATAAAACACATGTACTTCTCAGGCCACTTTA